CCTGCGCTTGTACTGAGTGGTAACAATACCTGGAGAGATTTGCTGCTGGTCCCTAGCAAGGCATTGAGAGAGACAGCCCACGCTGGAGAGAGTTCAGGGGGCACGCGGTGCCACGGTTCCAGGCTGCACCCCGGGGGTCCCATTACAGGAGCACCCCTTCCAAAGCCATTCATCCAGAAAGGGGAAGTGAATGGACACTGCTAATGGAAAAATCTCCTATCAAATGCAAACTTGAAGTAGAGGACCTGTAGGGACATTACTGGAAGAAGTAGTTTTCTTGCCAAGGAGCTCCAGTTGTTTTGACTCCGTGTCAGAAGGTATGGACTAAGTTAGATTTGGGAGGTCTAGGGCACCTTCTTGAGTCTGGCGTGTCCTCATTGGGGTATAGTTCCTGAGGAACTGAATAGTTAAAACTGCACAAGAGCCCTGCACTGAGATCTCTGAGTATGAGGTATTGTCTTCTGAGTCCAAAGGAGGGGCTGTAGTCATCAGTACCAGGGACAGTACTGGAGGCTGCTACCATACTGTGGGGACTGGTAGATGGATAGCTACTAGGGCTTCAACTTTTGCTGGACCCTGATGTAAAGAGCTGGTTGGTAGGGATAGCGCCACCACTGGGAAACTCATCTTGGTGTTCCACAAGAGTGGGGGACTCCGGTTCCTCAGAAATGAAGAGATCTTAATGTGAAAGAAATCTAGAGGGTGCCAGAGAGCTATGATAGTGCATAGTGAAGACTGGAGGCAGTTCTGGAGCTCGAGTCAGGAACAGGAAGCAAGCTGTGGTTAAAGAGAGTGCCAATGGAACTGTCAAGGTGGGATCTCTACTCCCTGGGTGCATACAGCCTGAGGAAGATGGTGTCAGAGAAGAAGTAGAGGTAAGAGAGGGCTCTGTCTGAGACTGGGATGAAGATGGTAGTGGTGCCTTGGACTTTCTCTTGTCATTAGATTTTGATGAGTCTTGATTCCTGAAGAATGTCGGAGAAGATGGATCTCGGCAATTTTAGCTGGCAGGCTTATCCTAGGATGTGTTTAGACAATACCGAGGTTCTGGTGCTGATGTCTAATGGAGCCTTGGAGGTACCATTTCAGGACACACAGTTTCCTCAGTAACAACTCTGAAGTGACCTACCTCCTCTTCTTCTCTCAGAAGACGAAGACTTCTTTTTATTAATTATTATTATTATTATTATTTGGAGTGTTTCAGCTTCCAATAGGTACTGAAGTACTGGGGGGAGTCAGACACCACACAGGCCTTAGGGACTGTTGCATGAAGAGCTTCAGTCTTACTTCCTTCTCTTTGCTTTTACACCCCATAAAAACTTTGCACTTGGATGGAACATGAGATATGCTGAGACTGCTAGAATGCCTGTTGCTCCAGGAGAAAAACTTATTGCAGGTCTGGCAAGCTTTGAATCCCAAGGCCTTTGGTGTACCCCAGATAAGAGGCCAAGAGAGCAAAGGATTCAGGCCTGGAAACTGGGGGGGGGAAGTAAAAGAGGGAGGACCTCCCCAAAGGCAACAATTTATGCCAATAAGGAAATAATAAGCAAAAAGAAATCTCAATAATGGAAGGATAAAGTAACTTAATAGCCACTAGGAAGCAGTGGACACAGAATTGCTCCATCTCAAGCCACAGGCTGTTGAAAAGGAACTGGAGTGGTAGCAATTCGCTCCTCCCTATAGGCCCTTAAGAATGTAAGAACAACCATACTGGGTCAGATCAAAGGTCTATCTAGCCCAGTATCCTGTCTTCCAATAGGGGCCAACGCCAGGTGCTTCAGAGGGAATGAAAAGAACAGGTAATCACTAAAAGTAATCCATCCCGTCACCCATTTCCAGCTTTGGTTCTGAGGCGAGGTCATGCAGTAAGCAGACATGGACTAACTCAAATCCCTGGTCAATACCGCATGGGCACATGCACATCATACCATGGAGCACTCCCAGGGACATACATTTGAAGAAACTAGATTTCCCCAAAACAACCACCTCTCCCATAGCCTGCTTCCCTACCTCTTTAAACTCCTGTGGTTTGTTGTCATTTTATTGTATTTTTGATTTGATTCACAGGGCAGGGAGCTTGTCTTTATTTCCTCACAAAGCAACATGCACGTCCATGAAGGTACACAAATCCTGTATGTCACTTGTTTTCCTCATCTGTATACCAGTTTATAGTTGTCTAGCTTCTGGACACCATGTAACACAGTCTTTAGTATTTACTGCAGAGTCCAAACTTGCTCTCGGTCAAGGAAAGCAAAGGTCAATCTTGCATAGTTTCAAAATTACCATGATCGGATTGGAAATTCTTATTGATTCCTGCTTGTGCTGTGTCTTGTACAAAAACTATGTTGTCTCATCAGCTCCCTGGAGTTGTGTGAAATTTCTCAGCTCATGCCACTCTGGATGTCTTCAGATATATCGCAGTGAAGCTAAATACTAATCAGATCAGGAACAATTACTCCCGAAGGGTGTCTTCACCAGACTTTATTACCTCAAAATTAATTAATTACCAGTTAATGGGAGATACTTAACACATTTGTGAAAATTAGTGTGGACACTCCCCCACATTCCTTCTTTACTCCTGGTCATCAGCCTATGTTACAGGATACATTCTGCCACTTATTGTCCTAAAGATATAATTGAAAGATACCAGTTTATAAAAAAATATTTTCTCCTAAAATAGTTTTGTCTATTACATAGTCAGACACATTCTTTAGAATACCGGTACACTTGCCTAAAGTGGGGAGCTATGAACAGATTAAGAAAGATATGCTCTCACAAGCTATTTTGAAAGTTTCCTCTTATACATTGCACGGCATTGCATAGATACAGCACTTTTGAGAGTTTCAAGACAAAGTTCAACATTACAAATAATGTAGTTTGATCTGGGAAAGAAAACACAGGACACACCTTAATTTTTAAAAATAAATTTAGATTTAAATTGATATTTTCAACATAGGAATGATCAATAAGGCCGATTAAGAGTGACCGTAATATCAGGAAAAAAAGTTTTGCTCTCAGATGCTGGACAAAATAATGTTTTCAGATCCAGCAGTATGGCTACAAATATACTAGCAAATCACATATATTAACAGGCTTGTTGCAGATGAAAACCTCAGATTTAATTTTGTCCCATAATGGAACACATGGACTGTAGCATTTTTTAAAATCTGCCTTTTCCTTCCTCTTTTTGTAGCTTGCACCTTCTCTTTTTACCTATTAGCGTTTGCTGGTGTTTTGAAATGACACTTGCCAGGTTGTTTAGTTGCCAGGCTGTAGCACAATGCTGTAAGCGATATCACCCTGTGCCAAGAATGACTTCAGTGAACTAACCCAAGTTGAGAAGGCTGAATCTTTTCCCTACTTTTTCCCTGGGGGGAGGGAGTGGATAGGAATAAATTCTAAAGTAAAATTCAAAGCATTGCATAGCTACATTTGAAGAGAAGGGCACTGACTCAGTTTGTGTATAATTATGAAAGATTTGTATGGGGATGCCAACTATACTGGAATATATGGATCTTTTAAAATGACTAGACATGTCTTGACTAAGAAGTACACTTGTCTAAAAAAACCTCCAGAGATAAGGTAACATTGAAGTCCCAGATGTTTGTTCTGGAGCGCACTCAGCAAAAATTCTGTTTAGTCTATAGCGTGGCTCTGTAAAAGATGGTTTGTAAAAGTTTGTCCATGACCAGATGAAATGTTAGCATTCTACTAGCAAGACCCATGCGTAAACACATTTATACTAAAAATTCTAGTGAGAGTATAGATAGAAAATTGGACAGTAAGGAGCTGTCTAGTATACAGAGAAGTCACAAGAGGAAATAAAGTATAGACTTGCCTTAAGAAGCCTTAGTATCATCTTTGGAATGCATGTGTTTGAAAATACAGTAACTGAGCTCCCACTCTATAGAATGGGGACCTACTGTATTCTACCACAGTACCGGATATTATTCTGGGAAGTGAGCCAGGTGTTGTGAATCTAGATTAACCTAACATTGCTACTAAAAAGCATGCACAATGTATATGCAGAAATGTGTAGTGCCCATTACTGTTACTTACTCAGCAAGATCCATGTAAACAAAATGTTTAAGACATTGTCAATGGATTCCGGTATTAAACACATAAGCCAATCTAATGTACCTAACTAGGTAATTCACATTGTCATCGTCTAGGAAATGAGAGACTGAGCAACAGCCTGAGTGAACAGAGGAAGGCCACTCCTACAGTAGGGAGCCAGCAAAGGACAGGAAGCAGTGGGAGAAAGGGGTGAATAAAAGGTGCCTTAAGAGCTTGGGAGAAAGGACAGAAATCCTCTTCAGGAACTGGAGAGTAGCAGCAGGTGCCTTCTGTATGTATGGCTTCGATCCACATCGGGGGGGAAGGATAGCTCAGTGGTTTGAGCATTGGCCTGCTAAACCCAGGGTTGAGAGTTCAATCCTTGAGGAGGCCACTTAGGGATCTGGGGCAAAAATTTGTCTGGGGATTGGCCCTGCTTTGAGCAGGGGGTTGGACTAGATGACCTCCTGAGGTCCCTTCCAACCTTGATATTCTATGATATAGTATATAAAGTGAAATAACTAGCAAATTTTGAATTACTGGGCAATTATATTCCTTCTCAGGAACATGATGAATGGAAATTTATGATAATCACCCTAACTTCATGAATTATGAGACTTTAATTCTCTCAATTGCCTGGTTATTCTCCTGCTGGAGAGAGAGAGACACACACACATGCAGCCTTTAGACATTGACAAAATATATCAAAATTAGCCTGATCCCAGATAATCAAAACATGTACTTTAACATATTCTTTTAAACGACTGTTTTACTTATTGTGTTTAGTATTCAGCTACTTATAAACAAGTTCCCATGAAAGAGCTATATCAAAGGAAATTCAGAAAATGAACATAACTGACACTGTTTTCAGAGCTTCTAGGATCACAGAATATTAACAGCCATGATTTCATAGCTACTTTTATAATCATTAACCTGGAGACACATTCCATTTCTTTATTTTTTTTATTTGACAAGCAGCAGTATCATGTTCATCTTTTTTATTTTACATTTTAATGTAGATACAATTATTAGGATATCTGTCATATTACAATATTTAGTTTAACTTTTTCTTTTAAGATACATTAAAAAACATCAACTGCAAACGTGAAGGAGGGGAAAAAAAAAAAAAAGACATGGTACCCAACCAAATTTCCACATTTCAGCAATACTTCACTCATTCTTTTAGTAAAGTTTTAAGAAATGTCATAATGACATGAGCTTGAAATATCTATAGGCATTTTCATTGACGCTCATGACGTGGCACTGGTGATGTTGTAAACAGCAGAAAAACAGGGGCTGCCAAGTGACCAGTTATGGAGGCACAGACCTGCTTCTTCCCACAGGAACACACCAAACAGTGACAGCAATGATCTCCTTACAACCACACCTGCTGGAGAGCATCATCATGCTACATAACTGTATTCATCTGCTGAGGCCTGGCTTCGCTCGATGTATTGTTTATCTATCAGAACTTCAATACACTTCTTAATCATGCTGATACTTGGGTTAAACCTAGCTCTCGACTGGCTAATTACCTGTGGAAGAAAAACGTTTAATATATCACTTATTCATTAACATCGCTTCAATGCAAATGCAATATAATTTTCTCTAAAGAAAAAAAGACCACAAAAATGATTATTACATACTATATTTCTGAGAGACAGAAAGCCTCCATCATGTACAAAGGTCAAAATACACACACAGATTGTTTCTTTCCTGACTATATCTATGTCTTATTGGTTAAGTTTACTTTTCTCATCAATGGAAAATTGCTACTTGCAGTTGCACCCCTTGGTTAACTTGTCACACAACAGATAAAGGGAAACATTCAATTTAAAATTCATATAGTGTAAATTTCTTTACCTATATTATTAACTTCTTATATCAAGTGGTTTTCAACCTATGGTTCATGGACCCCAGGGGGTCCACAGACTATGTCTAAGAATTCTGCACCTCTATTTGAATTTTTTAAGGGTCCACAAATGAAAAGGTTGAAAATCACTACCTTAGATAATAAAAAAAAGAAAATCATTTTAAAAATCCAATGTGGTTTTCACTAATTATGTTGTTTACTTTTTGAATTTGTCAGCTTGGCAAATATAGTAGAAATCAGTTAGGTCAGTTTCATTTCCGAGTTACCAGTACTGCAGTGTTTCATTTGTGAACATTATAGTTTGTTATTTGTAAAATAAAAGTTTCAATTAGAATATAAAACTAAAATAATTATTAGTCGTAGGTTTTATAACTGTTTTTATAAAAAATGTTGAGGCAATTTGAAGTGATTGACAATATTCCTTTAACGTGGGTTTATAGTCTGGTTGCCAAATGAATTGTGCTCAAGATTACACGTAAAGAGATAACTAAAGAGGTTAAATCTAGCATGGGATCTCAGAGCTAAGCACAGTTTTCGCTTCATGAATCATCGTAACTAAGGCTGGTTGTTTGTCATGGCAAAAAAAAAAAAAAGTTAATTTTAGTTTTTTTAAAAAGGAAGGATAATAGCAAACAAGTTCATTTTCCTTTTGAATAGCCATTGCTAACAGTTTAAAGATATATATATGAAGACTGAAAAATACAAAAATACACCAAATGATAAGCATTTTATTAAACACTTGGTAGCATGTTTGGACAAAACATGTTATCCATTCATAAATTACATGTTTTAAAACCATTAAAAAGAACCTCAGCTCACTCTCCCATACTCCACTATTCAGGACAAATAAAAACAAATTAGAAAAAATGGAGCCTTTGAGTAGCAGTTTGGCTGGGGTTGATAGAGCCCATATTTTTAATAAAAAATATCTAAAAGGAACTTTCTGTAATAGACGACGTGGCCTGACCGTCTTAATTATCCTCAGTAATCATTGGATAACACATTTCCCATAACTGTACTTCACTTCTTTCATTCCTGCAAAGCTAAGAGAGGACAAGCTAGATTCTGTAACTCCTTATGCATCATAACCAAAATTGTTTGTTGAGTTCTAATTGATTATATTGTGCTGCTTCAGCCCCAGACTTTGAAGGAATTGGACAGATGCACTGAAATGCCTAATTTGGCCTGCAGAAACGTAATCTTTTTCTGGGACTAACTTTCCCCACAGTGAGACATTTGGGCTGTGCCTCTCTTCTGATAACTACTCGAGGCAGTTCAGACTTGTTCATAAGATTCTGGAGCTTGGCCATGCCCTTTCCATTCACACATCAGATGTGTTGAAACACTGGTAGATAAATGAAAAAAACCTATTCACCCATGATAACTAGATACACAATGATTGTGGAAGACATCGTCATGGATATAGCTGAAGAAATCATCTTGGGTCTCTCTCAACACTTGTAAAAGTATTGTCCATACTCTTGCACAGCCCGAGAGAGCAGAAGGTCTGTGAGAGACTAGATGAGTCTATTACTTCAGAGGATTATACTTTTTTTTTTTGCTGCTCAGTAGTCAAACTGTATGACTACCATTGAAGTTCAGTGAGAGTCTTAGTGCTTAAGTCACTTCTGAAAATGGAATATATACTTCAAAGTCATTTAGGTGCTACTGAAAATTTACCCCAGTAGGCAATTTGAGATGATGAAAACCATTAGAAAGGAGAAAGCAACCATCTTCCTAGCAATGGAAGAAGGGGAAAAAAAGCAAATGCAAGCAGACCTGACTATCGGAGAGCAACAGTATCTTTTGCCAGCAATCTCTCATTTGCTTCCCTGGTGAAAACGATTTCACATTGCAACTGGATACAGCAGGGGACATCCTAGCTTGGGGTGGGCAAACTTTTTGGCCTGAGGGCCACATCTGGGTATGGAAATTGTATGGCGGGCCATGAATGCTCTGGGGATGCAGGTTCCGGGGTTGGGCCAGAAATGAGGAGTTCATGGTGCAGGAGGGGGCTCCGGCCTGGGGGTTGGGATGCTGGAGGGGGTGAGGGCTCCAGCTAGAAGTGTGGGCTCTGGGGTGGGGCCCGGGATGAGGAGTTTGGGGTGCAGGAGGGGGGTCTGGGCTGAGGCAGGGGGTTAGGGTGTGAGAGGGGCTCTGGGTGTGGATTCTAGGGTGGGGCCAGAAATGCCGGGTTCAGGGTGCATGAGGGTACTCCGGGCTGGGGTATGGGGGAGAGGGCTGGGGTGCAGGAGGGTGAGGGCTCTGACTGGGAGTGTGGGGATTGGGGTTCAGGAGGGTGCTCCGGGCTAGGGCTGAGGGGTTTGGAGGGCAAGAGGGGGATCAGGGCTGGGACAGGGGGTTGGGGCACGGAAGGAGGTCAGGGTGCAGGCTCTGGACAGCGCTTACCTCAGGCAGCTCCGGAAAACAGCAGCACATCCCCCCTCCAGCTCCTACACAGAGGCGCAGCCAGGCGGCTCTGCATGCTGCCTTGTCCACAGGCGCTGTACCCGGAACAGCAACATGTCCTCCCTCTGGCTCCTACGTGGAGGCGCGGTGCTGTCCAGGCAACTCTGCACACTGCCCTGTCCGCAGGCGCCACCCCTGCAGCTGCCATTGGCGCAGTTCCCGGCCAATGGGAGCTGCAGAGCTGGTGCTTGGGGTGGATACAGCGTGTGGATCCCCCTGGCTGCCCCTACGCGTAGGAGCTGGAGGGGGGACATGCCACTGCCTCTGGGAGCTGCACGAAGCCACGGCACATACGGAGCAGGGCAAGCCCCCGACCCCGCTCCCCAGCAGGAGCTTGAGGACCGGATGCGGCCTGTAGTTTGTCCACCCCATCCTAGCTCAATGGACATCAGGTGGAGTTTGATTTAGGGACCTCTGTTACTCAACGATAGCCATGTCAGTTTGCTTGTATTCACTGTCCCTTTTTTGATGGAATGCCTCTTTTGCCTAGACGAAGCTCTGTATCACTTCAGATTGTCTACACTACCATGCGGGGTCGATCTAAGATACGCAACTTCAGCTATGTGAATAGCGTAGCTGAAGTTGACGTACTTAGATCTACTTACCGCGGTGTCTTCACTGCGGTAAGTTGACAGCTGATGCTCTCCCGTCAACTCTACTTGCACTCCTCATTCTGGTGGAACACCAGAGTCGATGGGAGAGCGTTCAGTGGTCGATTTATTGCGTCTATAATAGACGCGATAAATCAACACCCGCTGGACTGATTGTTGCCCACTGATCCAGCGGATAGTGTAGACAAGCCCTTTGACTTGAACTTCCGGTATGCTCCACTGTTGATTTATTTATGATATGGTTGTCATTGTATCCCACAGAGGCATGCTCCTTCCTCTGGTGATCCTAGAAATCCTAGAGGCCCAGCTGGCCACTCATCTTTGGGAAGTTGATGCTTTGAAGACTTTTTCTGATCTTGTGTATTGTGGAGGGCCCTCATTCTTCAAGACTGGCATTCAAGGTCAGGAATCTGAGGGAGGATTTTACCACCATAAGGGCTTCATGTTTTCTCCAACTGAGGGACTGGATCACTATTGATTGTGTTTTTACTCTTCTTCATGTCTTTTTTGGGAATGATTCCAGGCTCACAACAGGAATCCCTGAAACAACATGCAGTCTTGTACGTGGAGTATCCTCTAAGCATGAAATCAGAACACCCAGGAATTGTGGATGAAGATAGATGGATGACAGTTGTGTGGAGATCAGTGTCTGGATCTTACTGTACGCTCCCTGTATTGAGAAGTCTCTGGACAGCATAGTGGAGTACTTTTTGGTTCAGGGACCTCTGGGTCATTTGATGTTCTGTATCTATCTCAACTCTTACACAAATAATCCTTTAAGAAGGGAATTAAAAATTCCTTTGATCAGTAAAATGGGGTAACGATGGTTACCTCCTTTGCAAAGCACTTCAAGATCTACTGATGAAGAGCGCTAGGTATTAAATCATCACATATCTGTATGCCAAAAGCATGGAGAGAGTCCTCCTAATCTTTCCGCAAGGTATCCTGGATTATGCTCTAAAAACACTAATACAAAATGAAGCCCTGAACTACTCATACTGGCTACAAACAATACCTTCATAAGCACCTTGGGGTACACAGATTAAGTTAAGCTTTTGTATTGATAGCGATGATTTCTGTAGGCAAAAGAAATTTCAGACAACAGGTCTAGACTGGACTATGCAAGGAAGCATCTGCCAGGTCCATAATCATTAGAAAATATACCGGAAAGACTGCAGTGATGGTGGAAGCTAGAGTCTCCAGGCTAAGTTTTGTTTTCTTCACTGATCTGATTGTTCAGCCTCTTGAGAGGCATGATGGTCTGAAAAATCCTTAATTGGTGAGGATGTTTTGGCATGGTGAGTGTCAGGTGAAAGAGAGGCCTAACCACCCTGTGTTGAGATGTCTCTGGAGGAGTCTTGGCTGGTGTAGGGTGGGATGCAGAGTCCCCTACAGGTTTGGACTATAAGGGACTTCCTGTGGGACAGGGAGAGTGTATATACTGAGAAAAACTGGTAGAATGTTCCCCTTCTGAGGGTCCTAAGAGGGTTTACTCATAGATGGAGCTCCTCTTGGCCTTTTACTTGCTTTATTTAACTTGCTGCACAATGGTGGGAAAGTCAGGAGAAACAGGAAGGAGCTTAACGGGTGATCACATTCAGGGCTCAGAGCTCTAGAAATTTTGATTCCCTAATGGGGGGTGGGAATGTTGGGGAAGTCTGTGCTTGCTGCTACTGGAAAAATAGCTATCCCAGTGCTTTTAAAGCTTAAGTGGGAGTACTGAGCCACTGTTCTGTTTGAGCTGCCAGCCAGAAAATCTGGTGCCTGGTGGAAGGCGTGTGGCCACATATGAACTGCCATTAGTACCTACAGGAAGAGGTACAAGTGTCTCAGACAAAAGTGACATTTTTTACTAGAAAAATTTAATGGGACTGAAGGTAATATTAAGAAATCTGAATGTACTGACATGGACATGAAATAAAAATGTTGCAAGAACTGGGAAAGAAGCATTTAAACTTGGAGAGTTAAGAAGCTAAAGTTTTAGAATATGTATCATATGGGTGTGACTTGTTCTTTGCCTAAACAAATTAGTCTAGAGAGAAGGCTGCACCAACTTAGTGTTAATTGTTAGACTTCTAAAACACTATGCATAATTTGCTCTGCATCTTGGAAAAAAGTTTCAGAAGCACCCAAGTGACTTCGTATCCTAAGGCCCAGTTTAAAAAATGACTTTAGCTGTAAGTGCCTAAATCCCTTTAGAAATTGGGGCTTATGGTCCTAAGTCAGTAAGGCATTTTTGAAAAGTTTATTCTAAGTTTATTTGGAAGCTATGGTTGACTACTTGATGAGTGGAGTGTCAACAAGGTAAGTGACAACACTGCTGTGTGATTTTCACTGGTTGCCATTCAATTTCTGGGTGGAAACTGAAGTGTTGATTTTGCCTATAAAGCTCTAAATGTTCCAGGGCTCGTCTTGATAGACTGCTTCCTTCCTTGTTCTGTACAGCCAGAGTGGAGATCTGCAGAGGCATCTGAACAGGAGCGCTCTTCAGTTATGTATGGGAAGGAGCTGCCAACTAGTTTTTTTTCCTGTAAAACCTTCTTGATTTGGTAATTCATTCCTTCTCTTGCTGCAAAATAGCCTAAATCTACCACCGTCTAGGCATGCTGCAAGACTCACCTGTCTTTTAGGCATGGTAGGGGTGCAGAGCGAATAAGGTAGATACTGAGATGGAATGGGTTATTTATTTACTTACTATATTACTTGGTTATGATTGGATTTTGTTATAGGATGTAGGTGGCTTATCATATAGTATAATTATGTGACTTTAAGTGATGGAAGATCACCTAGGCCAGGGTTTTTAAGAGTGGCTAAGACTGAGGGTTTCTCAATTTTGGAGAGTTCAAACTAAGATACATTAGGGAACTGATTTTCAGAAGGTGGGTGTTCAGATCTCAAGCTGAATATACCAGATCACTAGTGACTTTTGAAAATTCTGGCCGTACAGCTCTGGATAGATGTCCATTCTGGGGTAGTCTTGGGGGTGGGGATGAAGAAAAAGGGGGAGAATCAATGCAATCTAGAGAATTTAGATACTTTGTCTTCCCTTAAAATTGAGATGTAGTTAAAATTTCAACATACTTTTAAAATCTGAGCTATAAAGCAAAATGAAATCCAGCCTTATCATAAGAGTTCTGGGCTTGTTGGGTACCACTGTGAAAATTATACATTTATTAATGCCTGTGACAGGGATAATTGCAGGACCAGATGACCACAACTAAACATTCCCACTTAAGTAAGACTCCTACATTCTGAACTAAAGCAATTTAGAAAAATTCTTGCCAGTCATTAAAATATTAGTTCTGAGGTATAGACTGCCTCAGTTTTGTGATTAAACACAGCAGTCAGTCATCATACAGCTTTTCATTTAGATCATGATAATGGACAGCATTTCCTCTTACCTCCTGAATAAGAGCATTATGTCGCAGCACTTTACGTGCTTTCATGATACGGACTATAGCAGCTTGAAGGTACATTTTCCTGTCTTCATCTACAGCACTTCTGGTCTGCTCCATCTCCTGAAATATGGGAAAAATGGTGATGCTGCGAACACACTAGGATCAATAAACATTCAGAAAACATCTACAATGCTTCTGACTTTGCTAAAGGAAAAAAAAAGTCAAATTTTAACAATGAAAGCTAGTTAAATCTCAATTTTAGAGCTTCTGGGCAGGATTCTTGTCTATGACTACAGCACACAAAATGCAAGTTGGGGTGGGAATGGGGGGGGGGCGGGAAAGGGTGAGTTCTAAAGTAGCATAAAGCTTACTTTTTGCATTGGCTTGATCCCAGTGAAGTTAATGTGCAACACCAGTCTCTCTGTGCAGTCAGGGCAGCCTCAAGATTGTAAATTACAGCAATGACCCATGCGTCTGACGAAGTGGGTATTCACCCACGAAAGCTTATACTCCAATACATCTGTTAGTCTTAAAGGTGCCCCAGGACTCTCTGTTGCTAATGACTGCTTGTGACACACTGTATCTCAAAGCAACATCCTGGAACCCCCATATTCACCACTGCCATATAATTATGATATGTTTTGTAAAAAGCAGGCCTTGTGAGGTATCATTTTAAAAGTCTTGATCTGCTGAACATTAATATCCTGTTGGATTGTATGTGAAGTTATGAAGTTTTGCTATGTGTGTGTTACTGAAATATGTTATGAGGTTAGGAACACCCACAACCAATCTTTCAGGTACAACAATGCAGTAGCCGGACAGCCGTTAATGGCTCATCAACACCTATGAAGGAAAGAGTCCCAGAAACTATACACATATGTGGACATCTCAGAGGGAGCATGTATACAACCGAGACTGCTTGACCAATGGGAATTGCCTGTTACCCACACGTCATAGCAAAAGATCTTTCCAGCAAGCTGGAAGAAACTATAGAAGAAGGGAAGTGACATCATAACTTGGCCTCACTCCCTCCACAACTCAACACCTGGAAACACATCTGGAGGACAAAGACTTTGAACTCGGGGAGGGTGGTCCCAGCCCATGTATTGAGGATCTATAACCTGCTTGTACCATCTGTCAGGATGAGACACTGCTTGATTCAAATCCTGTTTAGTTTGTAAAACTCAGACTGCGAATTTAACCCACTCTGATCTATATGCCTGCTACTTATAATCACTTAAAAAAAATCTTTCTTTCTGTAGTTAATAAACCTGTTTTATATTTTACCTAAAACAGTGTGTTTCGGTTGAACTGCTTGGACAATCTGCTGAGGTTACAAAGGTTGGTGCACATCCATTTTCCCTTGCAGAAGCGGCGAACCGGATAATAAACTTGCACTGGTCAGAAGCCTGAACAGTGCAAGACATGCAGTTCTGGGGTGCAAAACAAGGGAGCTGGGGGGAATTGGCTGAAGCCTCTCTATTGTTGGTTCATGAGTGGCTGGGAAAATATTCATGTAACTCAGCTGGGTGTGTCCCTGCCTATGGATATCCGTGTAAATGCAGTACCTGCCAGAGGTTTGTGGCTTGACAGCATCATGGAGTGAGAGGGAGCCCAGGTTGCTGGAACAAAGGGCTCAGCAGTCCCACAGTCCAGGTTGCACCTCGGGGACACTGTCACACTGCTAACAACCCTAAGCAGCCAAAACCACAGCTAAGGATCAGTATCAGAGTGTCCTGTCCAAACCCCCTTTCCCTGATGCATGAACAGCACAGAACGAGAGCAGTGTTAGAGTCTCTGTAGCCCTTAACTGCCACCAACAGATCCCTCTGGAGCTAGATATTTTAGCTTCAGGAACAGATTGTACAGGTATTGCAGCCTGATCTACATAAAGCATGATATAAAAATATAATTATAGCTCTGCATATTTGCAGTTTTTGCTCACTTTTTAAACTATAAAGCTCTCCTAAAATTCTACAAATCCCTTTCTTAAATGTAAATCCTTTTGAATTAGCATTCTCTAATGAGAAATTGTTTAAAACTGTCCCAATCTGTACTAACAGCCTATTATTCCCCCACATACACAGGCAGAAATGCTTACTGTTTCAGTCAGATTAGCATCTATAAATTATGATTCATGTGATCAGTGTTTTATATAACAAAGAGAGATGCTCCTGCCTGGAGGACCTTAATTAGTTCAGGCAGATAAGACAGTTTCTCATGAAGTGGTGAAGATGTCTGAAGAGATCAGTGCAAAAAGGCTCCATAAAAGAGGTGTGTTTTCAGGAGGAAGATGTTCTTGACAGATGAAAGGAAAGTTGCTTGGTGTCTGAGATGAGGGAATTTCAAAGCACAAGAGGTGCTATGGAAGAAGGTGAAAATCTAAGAATGGGATAAGAGTGCAAGGGTAGCTTCAGAAAGGCTTAACATGGAAGGATAAAGGAGGAGAAAAAGAGCACATATAAAGGAGCACGACACCTGAAATGGATCTTGAAAGTGAGGCCATGGGGCCTGGACTTCATGCAAAAGGCAAGAGAGCTAGAGATGAATAAAGGTAAAGATCCTGGTAGAGGGAAAAGGAATAAGCTATGGTTTGAGGATGTTAGGCTCAGTAAAGGAAACAAAGAATTACATGTAATCCTATTTCCATTTTTATACAGATGTGCCTGCAGCTGGCTAAGTTTTAACAACCACCACCACCTTGAGATGACAAAAAAATGAAGAATCTAGCAGTCTTACTAAAGAATGGTTCTATAAAAGATTTTTCATAGAAACTCTGAAAGCTGGCAAGTGAAGCCCAAATACGAACCACCTAGAGGCCTTGGGTGGAAACTTCTACCTTAAAAAGTTGCTACTGCATTAGCTGAGTATACTTTAAACAGAAAGGGAAACAATCAATTCAGGCTTTGATGGGATTCTTCTAATTCAACATCTACCTTTCAGGAGACAGATACTGGGCTAGATGAATCATAGAGTATCAGGCTTGGAAGGGACCTCAGGAGGTCATCTATTCCAAACCCTTGCTCAAAGCAGGACCAATCCCCAGACAGATTTTTACCCCAGTTCCTTAAATGGCCCCCTCAAGGATTGAACTCACAACCCTGGGTTTAGCAGGCCAATGCTCAAACCACTGAGCTATCCCTCCCCCCATGAACCATTGGTCTTACCCAGTATGGATGTTCTTATGTTATATTCACCTTGATAACAAGCATATAGATACACACACACACACACCTATCAAAAATTTTGAATTTGGAATGGACTTTTCTAAAGGCTCTATATGCAAAGCTTCATATACTCTGAAGCAAATGGCAACTGAACAGGGTCTGCTGCACAAGGTCTGTGGATTCTCTTATACCGACAGACTGGTATTTCTGTAACAGTGTCATTTAAATTTAAAAATATATTTTAATAAATAAGAATATGAATAATATAAAAATAAATACTGGAGCACATATTGTAATTGCGTGTTGTTTCTGTATTATCTATTTCCAGTGTGTCTTAGATTTCTGTATTAACAATACGATAACACTGCAGAAATTAGCAAGGGAAAAAAATATGCTGGAACTGTTAGATCTTTGGACATTTTAGGAGGTGTGGAAATCAAACTGAAATTGTGGGATAAACACATTCGCTGCACATTTCTACAAGAGTGATCAGCAGTCAAGTAGCAGACACTATAAAACACCAACATTTTTATCTTGAGAGCTGAAATATATTGAAATGAATAGAATAGTTCACACCTCTCAGAACTATTGTTCCATGCTGTTCACTCAAGACAACATCACACAGTATTCTAGTTCACACCTAGCTCACAATTTCAAGCTTAATCTTCAGAGCTATGAGGGTCAGAAGCAATTTTTAAAAAAATAAAGTTTACATTCTGGAGTACAATTCTGTGACAAGGAGCAGGGGGAGTAGATTCTGCATTCACAGACCCACTGAATACTTGGTGCTTCAGTTTAAGTTAGAGAAACCCATTCTTCACAGTTCTGTAGTTTTAGATAGTTTCAAGAATGGTTTTGAAACATAAAACATTCAGTCTGATAAAAATAGGCACTTTTGAAATCTTCAGTGTGAGTCCATATTATCTCCCTTTTCTAGCAGTAGTAAAGGTAAGGAAAAACATTCTGATACAAGTTTCTGAGTTCTAATGTTTTAAAAAGGGCCAAATTGAGTAATCCTTTCAGGGCTGTGATTAGGTTCTAAGATATTTTTGTTTAAAAAGCAGTAACAAAAAAATCTCTGCCTTAGTGGACATGGAATCAGAGCTAAGTGTATCTTCATGCTCACAACTTCAAATTTAATTATATACAGAACTGAAAATAGCAGAGATTTCACCATTTCTTGGGTTTGTTCTTTCTAACAAAGCCACATATCCTACCATTTATTATAATATACTGCATTCCAAGTAGTGGATGCTACCTTTAATGAAGACAAACAAGTTAAAGGTATTAAACAATAACAAACATGTTACAGTATTAGTCTGTAAAACTATAGATTTCTTTCATTAATATAAGAGATACAGATACACTTCAGTACTTGAAAAATGGAAAAACATTAGCGTAGAATTCATACTTTAGTTCCAAGTTCTTCAAAAGACAAAAATCTTCCACAATTAATAAATGTCTGGAATTATGACTAGATAATAAGGATAGGTTTCATTAAGTGACTCTTGTCTATCTATGACTGGTGAATTTAAAATTTAGCTCTACTCAAGTTATAGATTGACTGAAGATCACAAAGACCTACTGACAGGACCGGTGCTACCATTAAGGCAAACTAGGAGATTGCCTAGGGCACCAAGATTTGGGGTCGCCAAAAAGCAGTGCCCCCAATTTTTTTTTTTTTACAGCGTTCCTACGCCCCTTCCCCGAGCGTGCGGTCGCCGCTCCACTTCTCCCGCCTCCCAGGCTTGCAGTGCCAATCAGCTGTTTGGCGCCGCAAGCCTAGGAGGGGAGGAGAATTAGAGCGGGAGCGGCATGCTCAGGGAGGAGGCGGAGCAGAGGTGAGCTGGGGTGGGGAGCTGCTGCATGGCTCCCCGGGGCCGAGAGGGTGGGGAGCTGCCGCGGGGCTCCCCACCCCAGCTCACCTCTGCTACGCCCCCTCCCCGAGAATGCTGTCGCTACTCCACTTCTCCCGCCTCCCAGGCTTGCAGCGCCAATCAGCAGTTTGGCGCCGCAAGCCTGGGAGGGGAGGAGAATTAGAGCAGGGGCGGTGTGCTCAGGGAGGAGGCGGAGCAGAGGTGAGCTGGGGTGGGGAGCTGCTGCACGGCTCCCCGGGGGGGCGGGAGCTGCCGTGGGGGGAAGGGGCGCCTCAGGGCGGAGGGGGGAGCTGCCACGGGGTGGGGTGGGGTGGGAAGGGGCACCTCAGGGAGGAAGGGGGGGCGCAAGGTGGAAGTTTTGCCTAGGGCGCGTAACTTCCTTGCACCGGCCCTGCCTACTGATATATTCTAGACAAAGCGATCTCCCTTTTCCATCTGTAAATAAGGACAATAATTGTGGCAACTGATGGACTTTGGAGAATGTTAACTAGCAAGTTTTCTCAGAAGGAGCAAAGAGGTGCAGCCTTTTTGGTTTGTCAACACTATCTGGCTATATACAATATCTGAGTCTGGGGAATAAGATGGCTCTTGCATAAGGCTAGGATATCTTTATTAGCAGTATCTGAATTAGCTAAGCCTCTGAACATTGTTTAGGCAATAAAACACATCAAGGAGTGCATTAACGGGCTAATGGTGCTTGCTTTAGGTGGACGGTGAGGCATGAACACTTTCAACCAACCATCTGAGAAGTGCACTTATAGCTTACTAATGCACATCTTATGGGAGCTTATTCATATCAGAACATGGCTCATGATTCTAAATTCAACTTCTGGGGTAATTTTTTCCACCAGAGAAAACAGTTCCCGGGAAAGAAAGAACAACAGGGGAAAGTTTATACTGTACTTTTTTTTTTTTTAAACACTATCTTAAAAATGTTTTATTGATACTTGAATTTTTTAAAAAAAATTCTCTTTCCTTCTTTGGTCTTGGGACTCAGAACCTCACATCCCTTCTCCCATGAACCCAGCTGCCCTTTCCAATAACCATGTTAGACTTTCAGTTTGTACTGAAAATAGTAAATTGGGATTCCAAATTAGTTTTTTCCCCAATAGTAAGTGGTCCTCTGGCCACAAACTGCTGATGAAAGGGCAGTCAGTTCCACAGGGGACAAGAGGAGAGTTTCCCCTCCCTTCATATTTTCTGCCCACAGCTCTTCTGCCAGCCCCAGTCATCCTTCTTTCCCTCTGTAAAGCCTTATGTCCACACAAACCTTGCACTTGTTTAACTAATATATTTGTAATGGATGTTGTTTAAAACCCTTTGTAGATACACTTGCATCTGTTTACACCAGACTTGCATTAATTTAGATGAAGTCATTTTTAAATAACGCTTTTATTAAACGGTTGACTTTTTTATATATATTGAAAAATACTTGCCTGTGGTGTGTCTTTCTGCATTGATGTGGTAATTTTAAATTTTGTTCGTTTACTACTGAAGTTCATATTTAATGAAAAAGTAGACTCTGCTTCTATATCTTCCTGCAATATAAAAAAGCATTTGTGTATTTTAACATTCATAAATGTTGCTAAAAAGCATAAGCAGCATACACATTTTTTAAGGACCGCTAACAATTTATGGGGAAAATTAAAACACCTAAATAGGACTCTGACCGTGCAAATGAGGAGTCTATTGCACCTTATTAAAGTTTTGAAATTCTAAAGATCCATTTGAACGGAGTTCAACTTTTCTCATGCTACAGCTTATTTGGGCTGGAAAGTCAGATTATTTTAGAACCAAAATAAACAGAAAGAACGCTACCATATATAAAAACAGTATTAATCAGTTCAAACAATGAAAGTACTTTTTTTCTATTACTGAAACTACTTGTTTTAGTATTTCTAAAATACAATTTGGAGAGACTTTTTTGAGAACACATAGTGCATTTAAGCCAAGAGAGGAGACTAGGATTTCCATTTATCTACAGAAGAGTTTTGGGGAGATTGACTGTGGAAAATAAAGCTTTCTATATATTGCATGGTTTGCTTGCATAACAAAGAAATTAACACCTACAACATTTTTATAGTTGTAGTGTACATGGTGATCCAACTATGGGTTCTCCCATCATTCTAACCCTAGCTCTTTCCAAAAAAACGTATCTGTTTTTATCCCCTCCAGGCTGGATAGCCATGCTAGCTGTTCACTGTGCTCTGGAGACAATGTGTCTCTAAACTGGCCAGAAGGATGACATGTAGCATGAGCACCTATCTTCTTTACCAGTTTCCAATCAAGTAATCTGTACAAATACTACCAATTCTCCAGCCACAGGAAAATGGCAAGTTACTGGGCTCCTTCATAGAGTACTTTGGAATACTGCCTAGCCACTGGCTGGCTCACATGCCAGTATTTAGAACACAGGAAGTTAAGCATGTCATTCGATAAATATTAGATAGCTATTTTAATTTCACATTCTACAAGAAATCTAGCTTATTAAATTAATATTTTTTGCCACTGAGGCACAGTGTGGGAAATATAGTAAAGGTTAAGGATCAGCAGTTACAAGCAATATAGCATATCAAAAACTACACAGTTTAAGCACAATGCTAAATATAAATCAGAACAAAAATACAATCTAGCCAAAAAGCCACTAGGAAGAAAATTATTAGATTGAACCAGTGAATCTATCACCAAGGGGGGGAAAAGTTAATTTCCTGGCTTTTTGAACTTGAACAGAAAGGAAGTATGTTATGTAACATATGTTGTGCTTTGCATTTTCTTTCCTAACTGCTGTTCAGGCCTTGGGTACACTCGTGGATTCACAGCGCTGCCGAGTGTAGTCGCGCCGCCAGCGCTGCGAGAGAACTCCACCTCTCCGAGGGGAATGGCTTGCAGCGCTGCGAGCGAGCGTGCAGCGCTGCAGGTGCTGATTACACTGGCGCTTTACAGCGCTGCACTCGCTGCGCTCAGGGGCGGGTGTTTTTTCACACCCCTGAGCGCAGCAAGTGCAGCGCTGTGAATTGCCAGTGTAGCCAAGGCCTCAGATATTCAGGTTCAGATATTGGTCAACTATTTGCAAAACAGAAGTAGGTGCATTTCACTGTTTCAGCACCCTGGAGTTCACCAACTTAGTAATAATAAGTAAGCTGATTGAATGTGCACAGCTCAGCTTTTTCTTTGTTTGGTGGTGTGAAAGGAAGACATAATTAGTACAGGTATTTTGGTCCATGAACCCTCTAGCTAAAGGACAGATGCATACAAAAGTAAACATAACCAGAAGGAAAAATTACAAAGCTATTGTATTCCCCTTCCAATCAAAAGTGATGTTAAAAAGATATCTTTTTAGTTAGTGGGCATAAAGTATCAATTGGAGGTTCCAGAAACAGGAAATTATGAGAAGTATTATACATGAAAATTAGAGATCGAAAAGACCAATTAGATCAGGGATTCTCAACCTTTTTCTTTCTGAGGCTCCCCCAACATGCTATAAAAACTCCACGGCCCACTGTACCACAACAACTAGTTTTCTGCATATAAAAGCCAGGACTGGCATTAGGGGATAGCAAGCAGTGCAATTGCCTGGGGCACGCAGGAAGCTAGGTTGCTCAGGCTTTGGCTTCAGTCCCAGGTGAGAGGGCTCAGAGCCCCATGCTTCAGCCCCATGCACTGGGACTTCAGCCCTAGTGAGTCTAACACTGGCCCTGCTTGGCAAACCCCCTGACACCTGCTCATGCCCCCCCTCCCCCTCCAGGGGTCCCCGGACCTCTGGTTGAGAACTGCTGCATTATATGATCTCGTCCAGCACCTATCATGGTAGAACACTCATGACAGAACACATATCAGATAGTAAATATAGCATTTCTCTCATATATGCTACCTAGTTTTTGCAAGCCTTTGGTACCTTCAACAAAAAACATTTTTTATTTCATGGACTACTTTATTCAAAGGATCAGAGGGGTAGCCGTGTTAGTCTGGATCTGTAAAAAGCAACAGAGTGTCCTGTGGCACCTTTAAGACGAACAGATGTACAGAAGCTTATGCTCCTGTACATCTGTTCGTCTTAAAGGTGCCACAGGACTCTCTCTGTTGCTTTATTCTAAGGGTATGTCTACACTATGAAATTAGGTCGATTTTATAGAAGTCGATTTTTTAGAATTCGACTTTATACAGTCTATTGCATACGTCCACACTAAGCGCATTAAGTCGGCGGAGTGCGTCCTCACTACCGCGGCTAGCATCGACTTACAGAGCGGTGCACTGTGGGTAGCTATCCCACAGTTCCCACAGTCTCTGCTGCCCATTGAAATTCTGGGTTAAGCTCCCAATGCCTGATGGGGCAAAAACTTTGTCGTGGGTGGTTTTGGGTACATGTTGTCAGGCCCTCCTCCCTCCCTCCTTCCATGAAAGCAACGGCAGACAATCGTTTTGTGCCTTTTTTTCCGCGGTCCTGTCTGCCGGACCTGCTCAGGCCACTGCCTGCCTAGATAATTGGAACCCCAGGCAGGCAGTGGCCTGAGCGGAGCCGGTGCTCTGGGGCTCCGTCCGCCGGGGTCCCGCTCAGCTGGCAGACCTTGGTGAGGTCGATCAGGGGTGCCTGGACAGACATGGCTATCCTCCTCTTAGAGTACCGAATGGGAGTGACTCCAGGTCATTCTCTTCTTTAAGTTTCGTCTCATGGAGATTCAGTACTGCCTGGAATATCATGCGAGCTGGAGGCTTCTGCCTCAGGCTGCTCTCTCAGCTGGCAGTACCGCGTGATCGCACCTACCCCAGCCTGCCCCTTGCTCCCATGGCTCATGAAGCCTGGACAGTAGTAAGGAGCAGTTCAACTTGTGGAATGACAAATCCAGAATGAAGGATTGCACTCTATGGGCCACGTTAAGCTTATTTCAGAATCCTAGATAGCATTTAGTCCCTATAAAAGGCTTCATGAAAATTTCCCCCCACCCCTAACAAAAACGTTAATCTATCAGAGCAGCTGAAAGGGTAAGGAACTTTAACTTAGAGAGAGCTTCCATATTATTTAACTCATAATTCAAAGTAAAATTTCAGAGCGCGGTCTGTTCTAAGACTAAAAATGCAGGAGGGGAATCAGAAAAAGGAACAGTGACCTGTTTCCACCTGGTTTCGCGTGTTAGGTGAACATGATCACGACACTATGGGGCTTCTCTTTTTTTGCCACAGACTTTGCCAAATGCACAGGAATGTTTTCTCTAGCTACAGAAGCTACCTAATGCAATGTCTATATCTATGGCCTTCTTGCTCACAAAGTGGTCATGCCCCCGCCCAAGACTGACACAGCAGAGTGTGCATGTGACACAGCGACCTGTCTCGGGCAGGAGCACTAGTGAGGCATGATACCTTTGCTGTTAAGCAAACACAGCAATTCTTTCCTGTCCTCTGCCACTGAATGCCTCCATGCATTACGCTGTGCCTTATTAGTGCGGGAGGACTGCATGAGCTCAGAAAACAGGTCATCACGAGTGCGGTTTTTTTGCCTTCTAATCTGCGATAACCTCAAGGACAGAGATGATAGGGGGAGCGTAGAAACATTCTGGGGGGACTGCATGGTCACCTGTGCTGCTGAGTTCACCATGCTGACCAAACAGGAAATGAAATTCAAAAGTTCCCGGGGCTTTTCCTGTGTACGTGGCTAGTGCATCTGAGTTCAAAGTACTGTCCAGAGCAGTCACAATGGAGCACTCTGGGATAGCTCCTGGAGGTCAATACTGTCAAATTGCATCCACACTACCCCAAATTAGACCAGGCGATGTCTATTTCAGTGCTAATCCTCTCATCGGGGAGGAGTACAGAAATCAATGTTAAGAGCCCTTTAAGTCAACAAAAATGGCTTCGCCATGTGGATGGATGCAGGGTTAAATCGATTGAACGCTGCTAAATTCGACGTAAACTCATAATGTAGACCAGGGCTAAGACTTTAAGAGACAATACTGAACAAGTAGTTTGGTCCCAGCATCTGGTCAGTGCCTTTGCACTGCCTCCATCCCAGGCCACAACAACTATTCTTTACTCCAAAATCAGCCTGGCTCTAGTGGAGCTATGCTTACCGAGTTTTCACTGATAGTCATTGCCTCTGAAGCCATAAAGGGAAGATTTTGCACACAAAAGGGGCTCAGCAGAAAAGATAATACTGCCTCAGCTGTATTACCTTTTCAGCAGATCCTGCTGGCATACAGCCAGTGTAAGGAATTTGGATAGCATGTCTGTTGGTCTATCCTCCCCACTGGTTATTCCATCCAGAGGTGGCTGCTCATGCCTTCCCCAAAGGGATCTGAGAACAGGCATAGGGGACAATAACATGGATCTAAGTGAAGGGCAAGCACTTTTTTTTTTAAACAAAAACAAAACAAAACATCATGAGAAGATAGAAACAAACCATGACTGGAAATGTTACACATTCTCTTTGTGACGTTACAACATACCTTGTCTAAGTCATGGTTGATCATTTTGACATCAAGTAACGATTTGATGGTTTTTGTCAGTTCCTTCTCATTCATCTGTGTGCTATCCTGAAGCTCTTTATAACTGACAGTTTCACTGTTGTTGAAGGCAAGCAGTACTGCCATTTGGTATGTTGTGACCATGGCTACATAAGGTTTACACAAATAGTTCATTTTTACTTCACCTGTAGTAGTAATAATAATAATAGTTTCATAAACTGGTATAATAAGTTTGCAATTATGTTGTAAAGTCATAAGACTTGATTATTACAAGCTGTATGTGCAGTCCTGGACACAAGGTACTATAGATGTGCATACAAATCAGGGATTTGCACTTGTACACATGGCTATATGGGTGTTAATCTAGCGGTGCGTGGGTGCATACCCAGTTTGTGTAGTCATTTTTGTATGTGTGAATGCAAACAGATTAATGGACTTATTAGCTAAAAATTCAGGTCAACAATGTATGCTATAGGTGTGCAATATGTTTTAGAGATGAAGTGAAGCCTGCTAATATTGCACTTGGACATGGCAGAATTTCATTTATAGTAATGAAGAAAGTGAATCCCAAATAGTTTCAGTGCATTACAATATTAAAATTGCAGTTAATGTTGGCTTACAGTAAAGATGCTTAGTGGAAAAAGAGAAATTTCTACAATGGGCGTTTTCTGAATATTATAAGTTTCTTTACATTTCTCTTGAAAAAAATAAGCACAGGAGAGAACTACCTGAGAACGTGCTGGGGGGGGGGGGGGAGAGAGAGGGTAGAAGTAGACTAATGGGGATCCTCAGTTGTCATGCCAGTGCATGTATTTGAATATGCAATGCACTGCTGTGTGCTCCTCTGATTTCATCATTCACCTTTAAAAAATAAGCTATGGTGCTCAATTATTAAGGAACCATTACTGAATGGTTTACTGAACTATTGGAAATATAATGCAAATGATTGATATTAAAATCATTGCTTAATTAATGCTACAAATCAAAGTAGTAGAATATATATATATAATTTAGAATGAGCAGGGAAAAAAGTAAATAATCAATTTTATGGCTCACAGAACTAATGGATAATAAGCTAAGTTCCCTCTAAGCTGCACAGCCATGCAGCAGGCTATCAAGGGCCATGCAGGAAGGGAGAGGTGCTCCGGCCCAGTCCCCACAGAGCTGCTGCAGCCAGGGAGAGGCGTCTCTCAGCCGGCCCCGAGCTGCTGTGGTGAGAGAGGGCTGGGGTGAGTCCTCTCCCCACTGCAACCCTGTGTCAGCCTGTAGCGCATCCCCCTCATCTCCGGCCCCACCCCAGAGCCCTCACCCCCCGCACCTCAACCCTCTGCCTCAGCCCTGAGCCCCCTCCCGCATCTCGAACCCTTCACTCGGCCCGCCCCGCACCCGAACCCTCTGCCCAAGCTCTGAGGCCCATCCCACACTCCGAACCCCTTGGCCCCACCCCTGCCACACATCACTTCCATATTGGTGCACATAACAAAATTAATTCTGCACATGGACATAAAAAATGAGAGAGAACACCGATAATAAGAATATATATATTTTTTAAACGGCTTCCTCCTAGTTGTAAATCACAGAGCTGAACCTCATGCAACAGGCAAGAGAAGCCAATTTATTACTAATTTTTTTTAAATGGTAGCTGGCAATTTAACTTAAACTGGTCTCACTTAAAACTTGTATACTCATGTTAAGCTAAAAGGTCAAGTAGTATAGAGCACTTAGCTGGTTGAAGGTCAGCTCATTGGTTAATAACCCAGAAGTTCTGCCATGGACTTTTAAAGCCTACAATGTACATCAAATTTTTTTAAACCAATAATTGGATGTAATTAAGTATATGCATAAAATGTAGATTATAAAAGATTAATTAAGAAATGCTGCTTGAGACAAGGGCAAAACCATGTTAATATACCTATGAATGTAAAAATGGCTTTATAAAAAACTTTGTTCCAAATTGGAAAGGAGTTTAGGTAAATGTAGAACAGAAAATTATTTATTGCCTGTTATGTGAAGGATGTGTTATTTTGTAAATTTTCAGTACACCAGAAATATACATTTATTTTACCTGTACAAAGATAATGTAACCAAGTAAGCTTCCTCCCACTGAAGTGCTGACTGTAAAATAATTCAAACTGTAAAACAAAAGTCATCTTCAGTTAAATCACTTATAACCTTAATAATTCATTGTCACACTACTACCATAGCAGTAGAGAAGAAATACTAATTTAATATTCAGCATTTTGTACCTACACATTTAAAAATACTACACAGTATTTCTTCATATACTGACAAGATGTAAGTTGAAAAAATTGAGTTTTTAGTTTTGACTAAAATGTCTTAGCCAAACATGTTTAAATCTACATATTATATTTTGAAACCTAAGACTTTAGAGACTGAATATGTCAGAGATGACACCAAGAAATCATCATATGAATTAACAATCAATGCTGTAGCTCAGTATTGTTCAAATACAAGTGCTGTCAATATTGATCCCAAAAGAATAATTGATAAAATTTGTATAACAATTATCATATTTACTATTATTATAGTATTAATTAGGGTATTAAAAGTGCATTACTACTATTACTGTTGTTACATTGTCACTTCTATCATCATATGCACAGTATAATTATATTTGTAACCTTTCCTTTGATGCAATCATAATCCTTTATACACTAATTTTGATTCACTGTTTCAATCAAATTAGAAAACCCACTTCACTTGTGTTTTGATATAATTTAGCTAGATCTAGATGTTTTGATGGATGTTGCTATTAAAGTGAATCATATATAATGATTACATATTATGATATATACACATTATTTATGGTGCTGCACAAATATGGAAACAATCTAGATTAACATCTCAGAATAACTTGCATCAATAAAGAAATGTAAAAGATACTTCAGGAAATGGACTATAACATCATGTACTAACCTTACTGCTTACTCATAATACACATGATTTAATAAACCACATCAATGTTTTAAATTTCTCAGGTATGAAAATTCGAATAAACAAGGGATTTTCAACACTAATTAAGAGGTCTGGAAATGCAGATCAAGAAAGTTCCATACAATTAATTTATTTTACATTAAATTTATTCTAATTTCAGAAATTTATTGTGCACTACAAGTATGTACCCATTTTTATGTTACCTATTTATTTTAATAAATTAAAGGAAGTCGGTGCTTAAAGAAGAGTTATTGTTAGAAAAAGCAGCTTTTATTTAATTCCCCAACCTCAGGGGTGATGACTTCTCAGAGCATAGCCCACTGGCAGCCAGAGATTACAAAAGAATAAAAGCTCAGAAGAACAATTATTTTCTCTTAATGATTTCTTTGAAGCTGTTTTGAGCTAGCTCTAAAGAGATTTTGTATCTTCCTGAAGTAAGCAAAATTAGTTGTAAGATTCTACTGACTAAATAAAGTCAAAAGAAGAATGCACCATATTTTGATTTACACAACTCTAAATTGCATAAGAAAGTAAGAAATACAAGTAAAAGCTGTAGCTAACATTTAATTCTGCATATCTGCAAGAAAAAAAAAAGGACCAAGTCTAGTAGCAACATGGCCATCAGATAATCCCCTCATTATTATTCACAACAGGGGTCCAACAAGCCACAGAGATATACGACCCTTAAAAAGCAAACAGTGTCCTTCAAAAGCATCAAAGGTGGATTGAATTCCCCTTTACTGTTGCATCGGCCAGCCTGTGTGGATCATATTAGTATTGTTTCACTTTGCAAACAGTTAAAAATTAAATTTCAACATCTCAGTGAGAGTTAAACTAAGTTCCAAAATTAATTTTCAAAGCACAAGAATGCTACAATTTTCCATAAGAGGCATTAAAAAGGAAGAGCAAGATATGAGCACAGTGAATTTCTGAATAATTCCATAACGTAACTGAAGCCTACATCCCCCTGAAGTAGGCACTTTTAAGAGTATTTGTATTAGGCTATTTTGACTAAATATGACTAACATATTTAAGTTATTTAGAGAACCCTGTCAAATGTTTTTAAACATGTAATAAAAAAGAATTGGTTCTAACTCTTTTTAAATAGGTTACTTTTTAGTTTTTTTTTTTCCTGGAAAGCAAAAAACACTTGGCAATCCAGTTTCCTCTCTTCTCCTTCACTACTTACATTTTATATCATTACATTTGCTGCTATCGTGTTTTACTAGACATGTGCTTACTGTTGATGAGCCAACAAAGGCATTATGTAAGCCGATTAGGTCTTATCAAAAGTAAGGGCCTCATTTCTTTCTAGTAGGCTGACAAATTGAGCAGGACTAACCATCACCAAGTGCAGATAGCGCAATCACACCCACTCCACCCCAGTTTTCAGAGGTGTCTCTGTGGAAGCAAGGTTAAAGTGCAAGCAAATTTCACTACTATTTTGGTGTTTATAGAGAGTAATATGATCTCAGGCCTGCCACAACGGAGTTATCAAGATCTAATTGCCAAGATTATTAAAAATGAGTAGTGACTGCGGGTGCTTCAATTTCTGGATGTCCTCACTGAATTTTGAAGGTGTCTGATTTTCATGAAGTGCTGAATACCCACCACTTGTAAAATAGTCTCCTTTTTAAGGGACATCAAACTAGACACCCAAAAACTGAAGCACTTAAAATCATCAGTCTCTTGAAAAATCGTTGAAGAATATTCTTCAACACACTAATAATCTTGTTCATTTCTTCCTCCTTTATGTTTTTACATACATTTTAGTGCTTGTGAAAGGTGTCACATTGAGAGCTCTGGAAACTGATTTTTGGTGCGACTATTTTAAGACATTTTATTCCCCTTAAAACCTATAAATCGACTACATTCAAAACTTCTTGCTTAAACAACCCTTTCAGTGGATAGGGGGCTGCAGACGGGAGTTTGACAGAGGGAGGCTTACGATGGTTAGGAAGACCTGCAACACCTGTGCCAGCACTGCTTCTGTCTCCTCCACCTGTGCCTGTAGCCAGACAGAGTGCCTGAGCATGGATGCTTCTACCCAGATCCTGGTGTGGTTTTGCAGAGACTGTAACTTGCAATTTCCACTTATTGATATCCAGGCTGGGGGGACCATCCAATGTCAGAGGTGCCTGCTGGTGGAATCTCTCAGGCCGCAGGTGGGAGAGCTACAGGAGGAGATGGCTAGGTTGAGGAGCATCCGAATCCACGAGCAATTCCTTGACAGTGTCCATGTGGAGACAGCTGAGGTAGCTGTCCCAGTACACAGGACTGCTGATACACCACTGGTGGAGGAGGAGATGGCTCAGGGTGGACACTGGCAGCTGGTTACTTCTGGCAGCAGGCAGCGCTCCACCCCTGCTCCGAACCCTCCTGCCATGGTAATAGGTAACTGTTATGCTCTTCTTGATACAGGAAAGAAGGAACCACCCCCTACAGTAAAAGAGGAGAAGCCTCATACCCCTAAGGCTGGGAGGTCTGCTGCCACCACTGCGAATAGGAAACGTAGGGTAGTGGTGGTCGGAGACTCTCTGCTGAGGGGGACAGAGGCGCCCATCTGTTGCCCTGACATTTCATCTCGGGAGGTATGCTGCCTGCCGGGAGCCTGTATCCGAGACGTTACGGAGGCATTGTCGAGGATTATCCAGCCCTCTGACTACTACCCCATGCTACTCATCCATGTGGGCACAAATGATACTGCGCGGTGTGACACTGAGCGGATCAAGAGTGACTACAGGGCTCTGGGAGTACGGGTGAAGGAGTTTGGAGCGCAGGTGGTATTCTCTTCGATTCTTCCTGTCAAAGGTAGGGGCCCGGGCAGAGACAGATGCATCATGGAGGTGAATGCCTGGCTGCGAAGATGGTGTCACCAGGAGGGCTTTGGCTTCCTAGACCACGGGATTCTATTCGAGGAAGGACTGCTAGGCAGAGATGGCGTTCACCTTTCGAGGAGGGGAAAAACCCTATTTGGACACAGACTGGCTAGCCTAGTGAGGAGGGCTTTAAACTAGGTTCGACGGGGACAGGTGAGCAAAGCCCGCAGGTAAGTGGGTAACATGGAGACCTGGGAGATGGGTCGGAAATGAGAGGGAGTGTGGGCTATATTGGCAGAAAGAAAGGAGGGTCAGGACAAAACTGGGAGGAAAGATCAAACCAGTATCTTAGATGCCTATATACAAATGCGAGAAGTATGGGGAATAAGCAGGAAGAACTGGAAGTGCTAACATATAAATACAACTATGACATTGTTGGCATCACTGAAACTTGGTGGGATGATACACATGATTGGAATGTTGGTGTGGATGGGTACAGCTTGCTCAGGAAGGATAGACAGGGGGAAAAGGGAGGAGGTGTTGCCTTATATATTAAAAATGTACACACTTGGACTGAGGTAGAGATGGACATAGGAGACGGAAGTGTTGAGAGACTCTGGGTTAGGCTAAAAGGGGTAAAAACAAGGAAGATGTCATGCTAGGAGTCTACTACAGGCCACCTAACCAGGTGGAAGAGGTGGATGCGGCTTTTTTTAA